TACTGATTACTTCTCCTAATGTGAAATGGAACCACTCCACCACCATATATAATATCAAGTGAGCAGACTGAAATTCCTCCAGACGCAGTTGGATTGATCTACAACCAATCAGAGCAACGGAACATGTGATGTAGCATATTTGGTAAACTAATTCAACCAAATCCAACAGCTGTTTGTTCTTTTAGAGAAAATGTCCCCTCCAGTTTGTTTAGTGACATAAATAGATAACACATCAATAGTCTGTGCAGTGAATTTACCAGGTATGTGTAAGTAGATTGTAGACAGATGTTTTTTTAAAAGCTTTTAACATTTTATTTCATTCAGCTAATTGAATTTGACAACTTGTCCAGACCACCTACATGTCTGTATTTTAATCAGCTAGAAGATAAATATTCATTCTTCTTACATGTGAGTTTGAAGTTTGTAAAGTGCAGTATATTTTGGTTTATGATGGACTGCTTCCTTTTCAGTGAAGATCTGTTGTGTTTTATAGTTTGTCTTTTTAAATTGTAACATTTCCATTCCATCAAAACAAGAAATGATTAAAAACTCAAGACACAATTACTGTAATAAAATGGTATTGGTTTATTGCATTTTGTGCTGACAAATCTATAAAATGGAACGGGTATCGCCAGAAGCCATAGAGATATAAGCATTTGAAATGTAAGATAAAACTACTTTTTCCTCTTTTTAATGTACCATGAAACACAATAGAGAATAATACATGTTTTTTTATTTTAGAATATTTAACTTACACTGACACAAAAGAAACACCTCCACACTAACTGTATTTGATTTATTTACACGTAGCCCCCTCCCACCCCCGCCCCAGCGGTTACAAGTGCACATGTACACACATACACACTCCCACAGAACTGAAAGGAACACACTACGTCTTTACCATAAGACTAGGTACAGTATCAAGGAAGAGTAATGAACGGTTCTGAATGGAAAAGAAAAAAAACATTTTCATATTACTGAAATTTGATACAGGTGTGTCTTTGTGTGTATGCTGTATATATCATATATATCTACATCCATTACATTTTTCAGGCATCCATACAAAATGTTTCCCACAACTCCAGTGAGTTAAACGCAAGATTCCTCTTGAGGGAGGTGGTTATTAAATTAAATACTGTATTTTCAAAGGCCATAAAGCGTCAAGGTAAAAGACATTAGGGGGAAATGCTCTTATTCCCAAGACTTAGATCAGAAGATCGATACCACTCATGTTTGTTGGTAAAATTTGAAGCTGCCACCTGCAGCCGGCTAACTTAACTTAGCACAAAGACTGGACACAGTTCTCCTGGTTCTGTCCAATAACAAAAAACGCTATCTGCACCTCTAAAGCTCAATAATTAAAATGTTTCTTTAAGCCATATAAAAACTGAAGAATAAAAACAATAAAATGTTGTTTTTATGAGGAGTTTTTGTACCAGACTGTACCAGTAACTTAATGGAGTCTGCTGGTTTCCTGGCAACAGTCAAACCAAGATATAACCTAATCTGTAAAACAGTCAAAGAGGGACATAAAAGAACAATTTATTATTTTTAGTTAATACACCGAATAGATCCACAGACTGAAAAGTGGGTAAATTTACAGTTTTGGCTTTTTATGCAACGTCCAACAAACTGGATTACCAGCCTCCCTTGGAATACTTTGGCACTTCCAATCGTCTAAGGTTTAATCTATTGAAACATAGATATATTTGATCTATTAACTAATAATTGCTACAATCTTTTTTCGTAAGAAAGTAAAATGTATGGTCTGCGTTTAATTCACTGGAGCACACATTTGCACACTTTCATTTATGTAGTTAACTGAAATATACTTTGGTAATCAGTTCATCTGCAGGTAATATTTGACACAATGAGAGGACCTTGTCAACAAATCCACCATAAAAAATAGAATCTTGTACTATAATAATATTCATCTTGATTACAATGATTGGCCAGTCCTAAGGAAAGAGAAACAAATAAATCATACTACTAGAAAGAAAAGTTTTTAACTGATATAAACAGAAATACTCTTATACCACAAACACCCAATATATTTTCAATACACCTTGTTCAGGGTAATTGCATGCATGCACTGAGTTACACAACATAACTGGAGCGGGGCTCTGCTTGCACTGCATGGATAGCCTACTTGAGTTCTTCTCATCTGACTCCCAGAGTTCGACTGTGTAAAATGTAAGTGCAGCTGTTGTTTCTACCTCCAACATCAGGCAACGTCTGTCTGATGCGCTTCTGTGAAAATATACTTAAGGGTAGGATCTTATCTCGGCTACAGACGGTGCCCTTGCTGCCATAATCTGGGATTTGTTTTTGTTTGTTTTCTCTGTTGGTGTCTGAACAGGACAGCCTCCTCAACCCGGTAACAGATGTGTTTCAGAGCCCTTAATATCCATTTAAGGATGGAGACTGGGTAATGATCACCGGCAAGTGTGTCTCATGCTACAGTTGTGCAGGCGAAGGATCTGATCTAAATCATG